ATTTATATTTGTGTATAAGCTGTTTAGATTGTCAAAAAGCCTGTGTGTTTAGGGTCATTAATGAAGTTCGTGTACTCAGACCAGTAATATTTGGGGTCAGAAGTTTTTGCCATGAATATTTTGTGGATCAGAAGATAAAAAGTTTGGGAACCACTGGTCTAGGGCATAAAATTCTGGTATCGGTAGTATCGATATTTGAGTATCGATCTGCACATCACTAAACGATAGGAAAAGGGGTTACCTGCGGAATCAAAGTGGGCGTGTCATGAGAGTGGGCGTGTCAAAACATAAACACTGTGGGCTATAAGGCAAGTAGGGGTCTCTGCGGATGAGTGGGCGTGTCACAAGGAAAGGCGATTCTAAAGCAACACACCTGATTTGACGCACCTTTGTACATGATGGTATCCTTAGACCCTGCCTGATCTCTTTACAGCCTGACCCTGACCCCAACACTAAAGGTTAATCAAGAGAAATGTGACCCAAGTAGGGGTCTCCAGAAAACTTGGTGCCGTACAGTAACGCCCCTTTTTTGTTTGTCCAGTCATGTTTGTCCCTTTAACAAAGTCCGTCAAACCAGATGTGTCGCTTTAGAATCGCCTTTCCTTGTGACACGCCCACTCGGCAGCAGAGACCCCTAATTGAACGACAGAGCACCCACAAGATGGCGGTAGCGCTTCTGTAAAGCACTCCGGCTCCACACAGAAGAAGAGCTTCTGACAAAACCGAGATTATCTGACTGCATCATCCGCTGACCGATTCAAGACCGACGAGAAAACCGGAGAAAATGGCCTTCACATTCGCGGCCTTTTGCTACATGCTTGCCCTGTTGCTTACGGCAGCGCTCATCTTTTTCGCTATCTGGCATGTAAGTAGGTGTTTACAACAACTTGGTTTCGTTGTGGTGACAAACGTCGACAGAAGAAGCAGATGAAAAGAAAGCTCGGTGATAGCTAACAGCCAGCTCGGTACACGGTTATCTTTCAGCTCTTTCCTCTGTTTCCCGCAGGTCCTGGAGACGTCTCGTGTCGTACTGGTGTTAGTTTAATAACATGATGTTGGATGAATGACACACGCCCTTGGTCTCAGTCAAAAGTTAGCTTCAACTTGGAAACAGACTCTGTATTTACATCTTTATTACCGTTAACGCGATATAAACACATGTATGCGCCAAACAACTCAGCTGAAGATTTCAGCCCCGCTCGGATTGTCACATTATAAACCGAGTTACGCGACAGGCTAACGGGCTARTGAGGTTAGCAGCAGAGCTAAGTGTGTTTCTTATGAAGTGGAACATCCGGGTACTTTGACACGTGACCGCGAATTGACGGAAGCTGACATATATTTTTTTAATTAAACAACAAAGAACACACAAAATGATACAATGTACAAACAATAAGGCGTATTTCAAACAAACAAACTTGCATAAAAGAGAAAAGGATGGGTGCAAATAAAGATAAGAAGTTTAAAAATAAGAAGGAACAACAAGAACAAAAAAAAAGGCTAGGTTTTAGAAATTAAATCAAACTCTTCAATTAAAGAGCACAGATTGTGGGCATGTTTAGTG